TGCAGATTTAGCACATATTGAACGATCCACAACAGCCTTGGAGCAAGATGTACGGTCATTGTCAGAGGTGGTGTTACAAAATCAAAGGGGTTTAGATTTGATATTTTTGCAACAGGGGGGACTGTGCGTTGCTTTACGGAAAGAGTGCTGTGTATACACAAATAAAACAAATGTAGTAAGGGACTCAATGGCTAAGTTGAGGGAAGGACTAGAACAAAGAAAGAAAGAAATAGAAGCACAACAAAGCTGGTATGAGACCTGGTTTAACAATTCCCTCTGGCTCACCACCTTGTTATCAACTATAGCAGGACCAGTAACGCTCCTGGTATTAAGATTAACACTTGGCCCTTGTATTTTTAATAAAATCATAGAAATTGTGAAAGGAAGGTTAGAAGCAGCACACCTAATGCTTATCCGGGCCAAATACGAACACATATCTGAAGACCCAGAGGTAATCGAAACCGTTGCCTTAAGCCATAAAGAATTGGAATGTTTTAATGAACAAAATGGTGAAAGAGAAAAGGAGGGATTGTGATATGCTATAGGCACTTTGTTCATTAAAAGTCCTAATAAGGTTAAAAAATTGTAACAAAGACTCAGGAGGGAAAGGACTGTGATGCGGCTCAGTTGCACAAAACACAGCTAACCTCAGCAGTTGCTTAATCGGTTTCAAGAATTCACTCCTAGGTCAAAGAAGACTGACGAGGAAGATGAAGTGCCTTCCTCCCTGGGACCACCAGAAGACAGAGTACGACCCCCTAGCAACAACACGAGCAAGCGCAGAAGATCACTGACCGCATCAGACTGGGGAATAAAAAATGGGAGGGGATTTTGGGGAAATGAAACACCAAACTGTATAAAAAGAGGAAGAAGAGACTTTCCGGTGCGCGCCGTTGGTGGAGCAGAGACTCCCCGGCCGCCCAGTGCTGTTTGACTTGCTGTCGCTTGCTTTAATAAACTAATTGGCTTAATTGGTCCTGGCTCTGACCAGTTATTATCCCCAACTTATAACACCAACCAATACCCTCTTAGAGATATAGATATATAAAATACAGAATGAAACCTTACACATAGTTTACACTTAATATTAGGTCTCCTTTTAGTAAACAATGGGTTTCCCCATCTTTCTGCATTACCCACCAAGTGTAACCAGGTCCCTGAGCAAAAACAATCCCATGGATGGGTTTGCCTTTGCCTGCGCTGGGATTTATCCAAATAGTCTTTCCTAAAATATATTTCATGTGTACCACAGGGACTTTGTCTCCATCCATTGTGTGCAGGGGTTCAGACTGGGCAGGACCAGCTCGATTGATGGACCCTTGGGTGTTGACCATCCAGGTGGCTTTTGGCTAAGTTCATTTTCCAGTTTCTGAAGGTTCTCCCACCAAGTGCCTTCAGGGTAGTCTTGAGTAGTCCATTGCACCGTTCAACTTTCCCAGCACCTGGCACGTGGTAAGGGATATGGTATATCCATTCAATGCCATGTTCTCTGGCCCAGGTATTGATAAGGCCCTTCTTGAAATGGGTTCCGTTGTCTGACTCAGTTCTCTCAGAAGTGCCATGTCTGAACAGGACTTGCTTTTCTAGGCCCAAGATGGTGTTCCAGACAGTAGCATGAGGCACAGGGTAGGTTTCCAACCATCCTGTATTTTCATCCACCATGGTGGGTACATAGCCCTTGCGTTGGCAGGTTTGGGGAAGGAAGGGTGATTGTGAGGTATAATCAAAACCTCCACGTGCCTCTTGGGCACCCACACTGTTGGGCTTCTTCTCCTTTTGTGAAAAAGCAAAGCGGCTAATAGTTGCTATAAAGTTATTTATTACAGAAGCACATTAGTCTCAAAAACAAAAACAAAGCAAAGCAATGGCATAAAAGCAATGGCCAAAGCAATGGCATAAAGCAATGGCAAAATGCAATGGCAAAATGCACTTGGCATAAAGTCATGGCATAGAGCACCAGCTCTCCCTGATGCATGTTCTTTTATAGAAACTTTCCAACCAGCTAAGACACAAACTCAGACCACTACTTCTTAACCTATTAGAATTCCAGTTTCTTAGCACGCCAGACTATGTATAGACTACGTACATGGCCCATCTTGTTCTAACTGAAAAATGTAAGCAATATTCTTAACTCTAACTCTGTTATGTCTGAAGCGAGGTTCTTGGAGCCTCTAAGAAAACACAAGCATGTTTTTCAGTCTTCACTAGAACATGTACTACTTCTCAGGCATCTAAGACTTTTTACTCACTAAAAGCTCTTAAAACTTATTCCATTTACTTACTTATTCACTCCATCTATTCACTTACTCATTCCATTCAAAGACTTTAATTCAATCCCTGCACTCTGATTTCTCTCTGAAGAAATCAGAGAGACTCCTGACTTACTGACTCCAACAGGTAATGCTGTCAATTTGCCAGGCTTCCCCATACCTGTACTTTGACCGTCGTCCACTGTACACAGAGGCTTTACCCGCTTGGCCTGTTTGATTGCAGCACAGGTCTCGCAGTCGTGGATGACCTGTGAGATGTTTTCCATAGTAAGGTCCACCCCTCAGTCACGGCCCCATCAGTATGTTGCATCTCTCCCCTGATGACCAGAGGCATCATGGGCCCAACGAGCTAGGAATGATTCTCCCCTGTGCTGCCAGCCTAGATCTACCCGTGATACTTTCACTTTGGCAGCTCTGTCCACCTGCTCATTGTTGCAATTTTTTTTATTAGCTTGACGTTGGGTGCCAAACTGACGTTTCTTCCACCCACTGCCCACGTCTCCTGGGCTAACAGCTAGCTCCAGGAAGCCTGTGTCAGCGAGTGGCCCCTCCCTGGCACCACTCTGGGAGCCGCAGAAGGGGTGTAGCAACAGCTACACCTGGGCGAGTCGTCAGGGAGGGACAAAGAGGCGCAGGAGAGATCTTTTACGGTTCTGGGGGAAGGGATTTATTGAAGGAAGAGGTAACAGGTCAGGAGGTTGGGAGAGGGACCTACAAAAGGCAGTTTGAGGGGTTCTACACAGGCTTAAGTACGGGGGAGGAGCAAGGGGAGGGCACAAAACTCTGGCCAATAACGGTTAATGGGGGGAGGTACAGAAGGCGGGGAAAGGGGTACATTGAGCCAATAAGGTAAACTGAGGGTGGGGATACATACAATATAACCAATCATGAATACAAAAGGGAATGCTTGACACAGAAACTTCTAGAGCAAAGGGAGGGGCTACAAAGGATTGACATCCAGTGGGGCAGGGTTTAGGGTGAGGGACAGGGAAGGTTCCAGATAAAGGGGAGGGGTTTAGGATGACTGACTAGGACAAAGGCGGGAAAGGGAAAAACCATTATGTACTTAACTTAGGGGAAAGAAGCTGGGACAAACTATCAACATAGAAGGAAAATTAACATTAAAGAACGCAACACAACATTGGGTCAGTCTCTCTGCTTGGGTGGCAATGTCCCGCCAAATCTCAGTGGCCCAGATGGGCTTCCCTCTGCACTGCCAGTTGGCCTTTTTCCAGTGATCCAGCCATCCCCACAGAGCATTAGCTGCCATCCATGAGTCTGTGTAGAGATAGAGCCTTGGTCACTTCTCTTGTTCAGCAATAGCCAAAGCCAGCAGAACAGCTTTAAGCTCTGCGACCTGACTTGATCCACCTTGTCCCTCGGTAGCTTGTGCAACTTGTTATGTGGTTAGTGCCTACAGGGCCCCAGTGGAAATTGTTCTTCTTGTGGGTGACCAGGTAGAGAGGGCTCACAATCTGGCTGTACTTGGGAATGTGCATCCTCCAAAAACATATGGCACCTAGGAAAGCTTGTGTTTCCTTCTTGCTGGTTGGTGGAGACATAGCAGTGATCTTGTTAATTATTTCTGTTGGGATTTGATACCGTCTATTTTGCCACTTTACTCCTAGAAACTGAATTTCCTTAGCTGGTCCCTTAACCTTACTTCGCTTAATGGCAAAACCAGCTTTCAGCAGAATCTGGATAATCTCTCCTTTCTCCAAGACTTCCCCTACTGTGCTCCCCCATTCAATGATGTCATTGATATACTGTAGATGTTCAAGAGCCTTGCCCTTTTCCAGTGCAGCCTGGATCAGTCCATGGCAGGTGGTGGGGCTGTGTTTCTACCCCTGGGGCAGAAGATTCCAGGTGTACTGCATGCCCCTCTAGGTAAAAGCAAACTGAGGCCTGCACTCTGCTGCCAGAGGAATGGAGGAAAATGCATTGGCAAGGTCAATGATGGCATATCACTTTGCTGCATTAGACTCCAGCTCATACTGGAGTTCCAGCATGTCCGGCATGGCAGCGCTCAGTGGTGGAGTCACTTCATTCAATGCACGATAATCCACAGTCAATCTCCATTCTCCTTCAGATTTACACACAGGCCAGATGGAGCTGTTGAAGGGTGAGTGGGTTTTGCTGACCACCCCTTGGCTCTCCAGTTTATGAATCATTTCATGGATAGGAATTACTGAGTTTCTGTTGGTATGGTATTGCCGATGGTCTACTGTTGCGGTGATTGGTACCTGTTGTTCTTCAACTCTAAGTAGTCCTACAGTAGAAGGGTTGTCTGAGAGACCAGGCAAGGTACTCAGCTTTCTGATGTCTTTTGTCAACAGCAGCTAATCCTGAAATCCCAACAATATCCTTTTGGGTCTTTGAAATATCCATTTCTAAGATAGTCTATGCTGAGGATGCATGGGGCTTCTGGGCCAGTGATGATGGGGTGTTTCTGCCATCCATTCACAGTTAAATTCATTTCAGCCTCCAATACAGTCATCTGCTGGGATCTTCCTGTTACCCCAGAAACAGAAATGCATTCGGCTCCTACATATCTTGATGGCATCTGGGTACATTGGGCGCCGGTGTCAACCAAAGCCGTATATTTCTGTGGGTCAGACATGCCAGGCCATCAGATCCACACGGTCCAATAGACTCAATTGTCCCTCTCCTCTACCTGGCTAGAGGCAGGGCCCCTCTATTCCTGATCTCAGTACACGTTGCTCTCTGCTAGTAAACAGGTTCTTGTGGTCCCTTCAAGAGGATCAGTCATATCACCATTCTGATACTGTCTGGAGTTCTGTGCACGAGAGACTGGAGCAGCACTGACTCTAGATGAGCTTCCTGTGTTAGGTGTCCCTCTTTTCAATTCGCATACCTGGGCTGCTAAGGAGGAGGTGGGTTTTCCATCCCACT